TGGTGGAATAGTAGGATTAATAATAATAGGACTAGGAACAGTAATTTTAATAAGAAAAGGAAGGGGGAAAAAGAAATCTAACAAATAAAAAAAGTTTAGAAATTGTTTTACTCTAATTGATTGGTTAAAAAATCAACTATCAATTCAGGTTGATTTTCTAATTTTTTTAGGTAATATATTAATTTGTCAATGTCTTCCTTTGAATTATAAATAAACAATGAGATCCTAATCGCGGCTTCTATCCCAATTAATTCTTTTAAATAAGGACAACAAAAATTACCAGCCCGGACGCAAATATTATTTTTTCCTAAGTAATCCGCCACATCATGGGCATGATAACCTTGCCAATTAAAAAGAACGATATCTATTGTGGTAAGATTTTGATTATAAACAATTATTTTCTCTAATTTAGTTAATTCCTTTATGGCGTAATCTTTTAATTCCTTTTCATACTTGCTTACTTCCTTAATATCTAAATTATTAAGAAATTCAAAACTTTTTTGTAAACCAAATATTTGGGCAAGGGGTAAGGTTCCGACCTCGAATTTGTTTGCCAAAGGCAAATTGTAAATTACTTTCTCATTAGGACCGACTTTTTTCCCCCCTCCTCACAGTATATCAGGTAATTTTTGCCCCATTTCTTTTTTTAACCATAGAACACCTATCCCAGTTGGCCCATAGACTTTGTGTCCGGAAAAAACTAGGGCATCAATCCCTCATTCTTTCACATTTATCGGTAAATGGGCAATACTTTGGCAAGCATCAATTATTACTAGACAATTTGGATTTATTTTTTTAATCTTTTTCGTAATCTCCTTGACTGGATTAATTATTCCTAAACTATTACTCATGTGCGGAAAACTAACTATTTTAGTTTTTTTATCAATATAATTTTCTAACTTATCAATATCAATTAAAAATTTTTTGGTTAATGGCAAAAAAACTACTTTGGTGAATTTTTCTTGAACGATGGCCTGTCAAGGATAACAATTCGAACTATGTTCTAAATGAGTTAGGGCAATTTTGTCCCCTTTTTCTAAGTAGTTTTTTAAGGATAAAGCTAAAATATTCAAAGAATAAGTAGTTGAGGGTAAAAAAGTAATTTCCTCAGGCTGAGCATTAATTTTTTGAGCGATTAGGTGGCGAGTTTGGTGGATAGTATTTCGAACCTCATTAGATAAAGTATTATTACCCTCACTGTGGCTATTAATAGAGTATTTTTCATAATAATTGTTGATGGCTTGAATAACAGTTCTGGGCTTTAAACTAGTGGCTGCACTGTCTAAATAAACCAGTTTTTTTTGGTGGGTGAAGAGAGGAAAAAGTTGACGGATTTTGTTATCCATAGTATATATATTTTTTCAATTATCTTTAGAAATTTTAACTAACTAAAAAAATACCCCGGATTATCATTTAGAACCTTAATTATATCTCCTTTTCTTTTTAATAATTGAAGTATTTTTTCATCAATAGTTCCTTGGCAAATAAGGTCGATTACTAACCGGACTTGGGAAGGTTCGGCATTAGTAGTGGGTAGGAAACGAGCTTCGGCTTGTTCATTATCAGCGGGAGAATAACTGCGGTCAGCAAAAATAATGGTCTCGGCTTGGCTCAGGTTTAATCCCATCCCCGCACTTTGAATATTACAGAGTAAAATACTTAGTTCGCCACTTTGAAATCGGCGAATATGTTCTTCTCTTTCTTGATAATTAGTTTTGCCAATAATCAGTCCAGTCGTGATTTTTTTCTTTGCCAAGGCTTCAGCCAAAGGCTCTAAAAAGGTTTCGCTCCGAGTAGAAAAGATAATTATACTTTGCTCCTTTCTTTCTTTTAAGAAGTTAATCAGATAATTAATTTTACTGCCCGGTCCCAGAAAACCCAAGGCGGGCGGATAAAGAGTAAGAGTTTTTAACTTGGCTAAAATTTCGAGGGGTTGATAATCCTTCCACCTTTCTCGTCATTGGGAATAAATACTTCTTTGCTCTTCCTCCATTAGTAAATATTCTTTTTGATAAATGACTGGCGGCAGTCAGGGTAAGACCTCTTTTTGCCGACGATTGACAGAAAATTGTCCGATTTGTTTTTGTAGTTCCCGACGCAGGTGGTCAGATTTAAAATTTTTTACCTGAAAAATTTTATATACTTTCTTCCCTCGGCGAATTTCTGACTTGTGGATATAAAAATATTGTTCGGCAAACTTTCAATAAGAAGAGTAAGTTTCCGGGTCCAGAAATTTAAGAATGCCAAATATGTCGGGGGAACGATTAACGACTGGGGTGCCAGTAAGGGCCATTTTGAAAGGGGCATCTTTGAGAATATAAATGCTTTTGCTTTGCTGTGATTGATGATTACGGAGAAAGTGGGCTTCGTCGACAATAACGCAATAAGGAATATTGACTGCTTGATTTTTTTTTAATTTTTTAAAATAAGAACTGTCAATTTTAAAAGTATCCTTGGAAATAATAATAATTAATTCTTTTTCGCTTAGTAATTTTTGATAAAAATTATAACGTCATTCTTTATCTAAATAAGTAACAATATAGGCAGGTTTATTCAATCATTCTTCCACTGATTTTTGTCATTGTTGTTGTAAAACGCTAGGGGTAATAATTAGTAAATTACTGACCGGCCACTGCTTAAAGGTCATTAAAGCGGTGGGAGTCTTACCAGTTCGCATTTCACTAAAAATTGCGACACTTTTTAACTGACTTAGAAATTTGACATCCGCTAATTGATAGTCTCTTAATTGGGGAGGCTGAATATCAATTGATGAGACATTAGTGATGTTTGATAAAAGGTCATAATTTAGGACTATTTTTTGTAATTTTTGAATGTTAAGAGGATTAGTAGGAAGGAAATAATGTTTTAACCTGTTTGCTTGCTTAGCATTTAAGCAAAAAGCCCACGGATAAATAGTTTGGAAAATAATTTTTTCCGAATTAACTTCCACCATTTCTAATTTCAACCTTTTTTCACTTTTAGTTAATTTTTTCATTATTTAGCAACATTTTATTTGTCTATATTTTCTTGCCAACTTCTCCCTCAATTATTTTTTCTCCATAACTTTTCATATTTAATCTTGATAATCATTTTTTCCCCATCCTTATCCGTTAGTAGAGGAAAGTTAAAAGCAGTTTTTTAACAGTTAAGAAATCACGCTAATTCATATAAAATTCTTTGCAATATCCTTAATTTAGGCGGGTTATTTAATTTTAATAATTCTTCAATTTGTTCTTCTTCTAAAAAAGTAAACTGGCGAATAAAATTTAGGGCTTGTTCGTCCGGCAGATTGCGAAAGAAATCATAAAAGTCTTTTTTATCACTATTTAGTCATAAAATCTTTTTCCCACTTTCACTTTTGGAAATTTTTTTACCCTCTTTATCGGTTAACAAGGGAAAGTTAAAAGCAAAAGTTTTATTCTCGGGATAAAAACCCCGAATTAATTTTAATCCAGTAGTTAAATTTCCCCACTGGTCGCTGCCTCCCAATTGTCCGTGACAATTGTAATTTTGGTATAAATAATAAAAGTCATAAGCCTGAATTAGCGGATAACTAAATTCTAAAAAAGAAAGTCCAGTATCAATTCTTTTCTTGACCGTCTCTTTGCTGGATAAGTAAGCAATAGTTAAATATTTGCCAGTTTGACGTAAAAAATCAATAAAATTTATCTTTTCTAATCAGTCTTTATTATTTAAAATCTGAAAGTTAGTATTTTCTTTTAAAGGTCAAATATAACGTAAATAGTCTTCTCATTGTTTTTCTTTTTTATCTTCATTGTTTATTTTCAGTATTCGATAAATATTACTTAATAATTCTGGGTTATCTTGGTAAAATTGGGTTAAGGGCAAGAAGTCTACTTTTTCTATTTTTTTAGGTTTAATTAAGATTCTTTCTAACTGAGATTTTATTTTTTCCTGGTAATTTTCAATTTGCTTTTCTTCTAATAGAGGTCGTTCCTTATCTTTATCGCTCGGGTCACCAATTTTGCTGGTGGCTCCTCCTAAAACTAGCAACACCCTAAATCCTTCCTTAGCAAAACGTACCGTTTGAAAATATAAAAATAAATGTCCGATATGTAATCTTTCACCCGTGCAATCTATTCCTAAATAAATTACTTTTTCCGCTGGTTTTAAGTGACAAAAATTTTCTAAGTTAGCAACATTAGCAATTAGTCCTCTTTTTTGGAGGTCCTGGAAAAAGATTTCAAGATTAGCAGACATATTATTTAATTTTTGTCTCTTTGGGTTTTTCTTCTGATAAGTTTTTTTAATTTCTGACTCTTCAAGTATTCTTTTTAACTCCTTTCCCAACGAATTTTTGTTCAAATTCTCTCCACCTCTTAATCAAAAGAAACTAATTAAAAACAACAAAAAAACCCATTAACAGTATCACTTTAATTCAACTTTTCCTCTGTTTTTTTTATTCATTATAGTTCAAAAATGGAGGAGGCGAAGGGATTTGAACCCTTGAATACTTATGTATTAGTAGTTTTCAAGACTACCGCCTTCAACCGCTCGGCCACACCTCCTAGTTAATAAAATAAGTTTTAGCAAACAAC